CCTGGGCCAGGTGGGCCTGTATATAGGGTCTGTGTGCAATAGGGAGGGATGTCTTCTATTTTTTGCTTCCCCCTCCCAGACGCTGTCCTGGTCAGGGGGAGAAGGTATTTTTGAGACATAGCACAGGCACCTCAGATAAAAGTCATGAAGTTGCCAAAAAAAAAAAAAAAGAGCGGGGCCAACTGGCCAAATGTCCCCTCCCTTCCCCCCAGCCAGCCCCGCCCCCAATCAACCTGCCCTGCCACAATAGGCCCGCAGCACCCCCCTCGGCCAGCCTGCCCCTGATCGCACCCCCCACCCCAATCAGAGGCAGGGCTGGCCAGCCAACCATCCATGTCCCCTCCCCCAGGCCACTGTCCCCTGATCAGCATGCCCCACCCCATTAGGGGGGCATGGCCAGCTGGCCCACTGCCCACAGCCCCTCCCCATGGTCAGACCGGTACCCAATTGGGGACGGGGCCCACCGGATAATCACCTGCGAATCCTTCCCCCAGCCGGCCCGGCCATGATCAGGCCGGATTGGGGCAGGCCGGCCAGCCAACCTCCCAACTTCTGCTCCTCCTGACAGGCCCAACCCCAATCAGCCCCAATTGGGCCCCGGCCGACCGGACCCCACCCATGCATGTATTCATGAACTGGGCCTCTAGTTGTTTAATAATATGCTATTTAGCCTCCATGTATTTGAGTGTTTTTGAGTTTTTTTATTGTAGTTGATCTATAACTTCATGCCATTGTGATCTGAGAAGATGCCTGGTATTATATCAATCTTCCTGAATTTGTATAGGCTTGTTTTGTGCCCTAACATGTGGTCTATCTTTGAGAATGTTCTATGTGCATTTGAGAAGAATATATATTCTGTTGCTTTGGGGTGAAATATTCTGTAAATATCAGATACATCTTATTTAGTATGTCATTTAAGGCCTCTGTTTCCTTGTTAATTTTTTGTCTGGAAGATCTATCCAGTGATGTCAGTGGAGTGTAGAAGTCCCCTACTATGACTGTACTAGAGGCCCAATGCATGAAATTCATGCATGGGGGGGCAGGGGGGGTTTGTCCCTCAGCCCAGCCTGCAACCTCTCCAATATGCGACCCCTCAGGGGATGTCCAGACCCCTCAGTAAATGTCCACAGGGATCAGGCCTAAACTGGCAGTTGGACATCCCTCTCACAATCTGGGACTGCTGGCTCCCAACTGCTCACCTGCTTGCCTGCCTGATTGCCCCTAACCACTTCTGCCTGCCAGCCTGGCCACCCCCTAACCACTCTCCTGACAGCCTGACCGATGTCTAACTGCTCCCCTGCCAGCCCAATCTCCCCCAACTTCCCTCCCCGCCAGCCATCTTGTGGCTGTGGGCACTGCCATCTTTGAGGGCGTGGCAGTCAATTAGCATATTCCCTCCTTATTGGCTGTGGGTGCCACCATCTTTGAGGGCAGGGCAGTCAATTAGCATATTCCCTCCTTATTGGCTGTGTGCCGCAGTTCTTTTTCCAGCATCTAGAAGGGTTCAGCAATCTGGAGAAAGGCTGCATGTAACTTAATAAAGAGTCCAGAGACGAAACATAATTTTGAAAGGCATTTGGGGGTCAGAGGAGCCTAGCTAAAAGGAACTAAGATCTTTTTGTCTCAGGACCCTTTGCTTTTGATTAACACAAATTGTCCTAAGGCAAGGTAGATATACACTTCAAAGGGTAAGGTTTCCGTATACACAAGCATTGTCAGATGGGGGAATTTGCCTATGGCTATTCAGGTGTTTGGCCAGTAGGAGGCAATAACATGTAGATTAAGATGCCCTGAGCTGTCTGGCAGCAAGCAATAATCCCTTTTCAGGTTTGGGGAAATGCCTTTAGCCATTCCCAACAGGTGATAACATATGTGACTCAGCCTTTGTTGAGTCCCCAAGTTCCATCAACATTTTGATGAAACTCTTGCAATTATGACATGCTGGAATTGGCTTCTGGCAGCTGTGGGCTCTGCCATCTTTGCAATGGCATGAAGGTCAATTAGCATATTCCCTCTTTATTAGATAAGATTGCTGTCAATCTCTCCCTTAAAGTCATCAAGAGTTTTTTATGTACTTGGGTGCTCCTATATTGGGTGCATATATGTTTAAAAGGTTTATATTTTCTTGTTGAATCATTCCTGTTAGTATTATGAAGTGTCCTTCTTTGTCTCTTGTTATGGCCTTGGTTTTGAAGTCTAAATGAGTATTGCTACTCCAGCTTTTTTTCCCTTTCCATTTGCATGGAATATATTTTCCACCCCTTCACTCTCAGTCTGTCTGTATCTTTTGTTCTGAGATGGGTCACTTGTAGATAGTATATGTATGGGTCATATTTTCTTATCCATTCAGTCACCCTATGTCTTTTGACTGGAGCATTTAATCCATTTACATTTAAGGTTACTATTGATAGGTATTTATTTATTACCATTTTAATTTTCTTTATGCCTATAATCCCCTCTTTCTCCCTTACTTCTACTTACTAAAACAGTCCCTTTAACATTTCTTGCATTGCTGATTTAGTGATAATGTACTCCTTTAACCATTTTTTGGTCTGGAAAGCTTTACATTTCACCTTTAATTTTAAATGATAGCCTCACTGGATATAGTAGTCTTAGATTTAGGCCCTTGCTTTTCATCATTTTCTTCATGCCACTCCCTTCTGTCCTGAAGTGTTCCTATTAAGAAGTCAGTTGACATTCTAATGGGAACTCCTTTGTAGGTAAATTTCTCTCACTCTTTTGCTACCTTTAAGATTCTTTCTTTGTCTTTAACATTTTCCATTTTAATTATGATGTTTCTAGGTGTGGGTCTCTTTGGGTTCATCTTTATTGGGACTCTCTATGCCTCCTGAACTTGTGTTACATTTTCCTTCAACAGGTTGGGGAATTTTTCTTTCATATTTCCTTTAACATGCTCTCTGTTTCTTGCTTACCCTCTTCCCCTTCTGGTATTATTATAATGCAAATGTTGTTATGTTTCATGTTGACCCAGAGATTCCTTAAGCTCTCTTCCTGCCTTTTAATTCTCTTTTCTATTTGCTGCTCTAATTGGGTACTTATTTCTACCTTTTCTTCCAAATCACTGATTTGGTCCTCTGCTTCATCAAATCTACATTTATTCCCTGCCATTGTGTTCTTCATGTCAGATACATCCTTCTTCATTGCTGTCTGGTTCTTGTTCATGGCCTCTATTTCCCTTTTCATGTTGTTGTTATTTGTATTAAGTTCCTTGAGCATTTTTATAACCATTGCTTTGAACTCTATGTCTGATAGGTTGCTTGCCTCCATCTCATTTAGTTCTTTTTCTGGAGATTCGTTCTTTTCTCTCATTTGGAGGTTGATTTTTTGTCTCCCCATTTTAGCTGTCTCTTTATATTTGCTTCTATGTATTAGAACTGTTATGCCTCCCAGTTTTTGTGGGATGGTCTTATGTAGAAGTTGTCTTGAGGGGGTCCAGTAGTGTAGTCTCTTTGTTCACCTGAGCTAGATGCCTCTTATGAGCATTGTTTTAGGATATTTTCTTATAATTGGGATTTGATTGTTGGTGTCCCATTTGTGGGAGGAATCTCCTCTCCTACGTGCTGCCAGTGAGGTTCAACCCCAAAATCATCATTCCAGCTATTCAGTGGTTGGGGACTCCTTAGCCAAGAGGTTGTGTCTGCCTTGAGTCTCACACCTTGATTGACCCTGTTCTGAGCTCTACTTCCTTCCTGCATGGAGTTGTTCCTGCAGGTGCCAGCTGCAGGCAGGTGCTTGGGGTCCCACTGGCCTTGTTAGAAGTCCAGGATGTTATCTGCAGCAGGGACCCAACCTGCTGTTTTGACTAATTAGATAATGCAAAGACTTCAAGCTTCCAGAGAACTGCCTCTGCCTGCAGACTGATTGGAATCAGTCTGGAGTATCCTCAAGCAAGTCCACATGCTTCTGCCTTGAGGGCAAATTGTTATTCTCTGTCTCTTAATGGGCCACAGAAACTCCACAGGGTGGGGTATGAGAATTTCCAATAGGGTGGGTCAACTGTCTTTCCCCCCAGGCAAAAACAGCAAGATAGCCAAGATTTTCCTGAGAAAGATGACCTCCAAGTGTGAGGGAATGATTCAGTCCAGGAAACTGGGGTGTCTGCCTTCTAACCTCTAACTCCAAATCCCCCAACCCTGGCTTATGTTTATACAGCTCCATTCCACTTAACCCTCCCTCTGCCAGAGCTGAAGGTGAGTGGCCACACTAAAAATGTTGTGTGTTAGTCCTTTAAGAGGGTGCCTTCTCTTCCAGCCTTCTCTCCCTGGCAGTCAACAACCCTGCTGTTTTTCACAGCCAGATGTTATTTGGGCACCTTCCTCAGTTCCAGTGCTCTCTACTGCAGGGCCCTGCTTGGGGATTATACCCAAGAGTTAGTGGCAAACCCCTACAGCTGAGATATCTCTCCAGAACTTCAGCTGCTGTCTATGGGAACCCTGCCAGCCCTTTCATGCCTCCACCCTTCCTACAAGTCTCTATGTAGTCTCCACTTTCCTTCCTTGCTTATCAGGGTTCTCTCCAGCTAGTCTTTAGTTGATTTTTCTGGGTGCTTCTTCTGTCTTTTAATTGCAATTACAGTTTGGTCCTAAGAGCATGCTTGTGAGCTTCCACTTACTCTGCCACCATTTTTAATCTTCAAAAATTTAACCAGAGTCACAATATGAAGAACTAATTCTTACAAATGTTTTACTCCTGCCAATCTAAATCTAGAAATGAAAAAATTTTATTACCACCTTTGCCCAACTGGTTGCAGCAAGCAGATCTAAAAAAATGATGTGAGAATTTTTACCTTCTGCAAGATTTTGTCAGAGGTTCAAATCTCTAAGTGTAACTTCCAGATCAAGTAAGGTGTCCCCAGCTAATGGTGCAGTGTTTGGGGTGCAAGAAATTGTAGGGAAGAAAATGTTCTACTTGACCCTCTTAGAATCCTTAGCTGGGTCTGAAAATGAAACAGACAAGGGCAGAAATGCATACAGATTTTACTGAATTTTTACATGCATCTGAAATCCTTCACAAGAGAATAAAGACCTGAAGAGGTGGGCCAGGGCAAAAATCTTCTTTTACACAAATAAACAATAAAAATTTTTGAATATTGGCAAAATGGATCAGTTCGAGTTAGGGATAGTGAATGGTGAAGAAGTAACTAGAAGATAAAGTTTAGTTTAACAAGCTTGGTTAAAGCTTGTTACTTCTTGGTCCCAAATTCCCTGTCTTTGGTGATAATTTCTTCCTTCTTCCTGGTACAAGGAAGGTACCTGTCAGGTGAGTTTCATGGTTTTTTTCAGAGAAGAAAGGCAGGTATGGGGAAGAGTGACTTACTTCAACTTGCAATTATCTGCACATGGAATCCCACTTCTACAATTTTCTTAAACTCCTCCAGCTTAAGATATTTAATATGCCAAGGTGCTATATTTTAGTGTAGCATATCCTCAAGTTCATCAACTTCTTGGCTTCTATCCATTCCTTCAGAGAATGTCATCTTCTTCCAAAATTCTGTGGGCTCTTATTCCTGGAAAACAATTATTGGCCAAATAGGGGCCTTTGAAATAATAGGTAATATTTTGAATTACTTTACACTTTTCAAATAATTTTATAGGCTTTAATTTTTGAAACAGCCTTGTTATATAAGTACTGTAATCATCTACATAATCTACATTTTACAGAAAATGAAACTGATTTAGAGAGATTCTTTAATTTTTTTTTTTTAATTTTAGGGATTTAAAAGAGGGAGGAAGAGAGAAAGAGGAGAGAGGGAGAGAGAGAGAGAGATCAGTTGCCTCTTGCACACACCCCAGCCAGAGATTTAACCCACAACTCAGGTACATGCCCTGATCAAACCCAAGACTTTCTGGTGCATGGACTGATGCTCCAACCAACTGGGCCATACCAGCCAGGGCTAAGAGATTCTTATTCTCACTTTATTTTTATGCTTACCTCAATTGTGCAATGGTATCCAGCATTAATTATATTGTAGTGTGTGTGTATACATACATATATATTACTAGAGGCTCAGTGCACTAAATTCATGCACAGAGAGGTAGTGGGTCTCAGCCCCGCCTGAACCCTCTCCAATCCGGGACCTCTCACAATTCAGGACCACTGGCTCCTAACCACTCACCTGCCTGCCTGCCTAATGTCCCCAACTGCCCTTCCCTGCTGACCTGGTCACCCCCAACTGCCCTCCCCTGCTGGCCTGATCATCCCTAACTGTTCTCCCCTGCTGGCCTGATGGCCCCTAACTGCCTCTGCCTCAGCCCCCACCACCATGACTTTGTCTGTAAGGAAGTCGGATGTCTGGAAGATGGCCAGTCGACCAGTCTAATTAGCATATTACCCTTTTATTAGTATAGATAGATTATATAGGATAGGATTGCTTAAATGCGGGGGGAGGAGTAGAAAGCCTTTTTCAGCAGGAGTATATGCTCTTGGCAGACAAAAATACATAACCCCTATATCTGGACTGATAGCCAGCCATATGCACTATACTGCCAAACTGGTTATTAAAAAATTAAACTGCTTTATTACACCTTACACCAAACAGCTGTTGCCCTTAAAACCCTCCTCAGCCCCCACCTTAGGTTCTGCCTTCACAGTTCACCCAGATTAGGTTCTGATTGGTCAGTTCCTATGCCAGTCAGCATCAAAAGCTCCGCCTCCTAGGCAGCCATTGGCTCCTTGCAGTTCACCCAGATTTAGCTCTGATTGGTCGGTTTCTATGCCAGTCAGTGTCAAAAGCTCCATCTCCTAGGTAGCCATTGGCTCCTCTGGGAAATCCAGAATGGACCCGCCTTCATATTGGCACCAGCCCTTCAGTCAGCCCCTAGTCCTCTACCGGGTATATCTCTGGCCGCTCTGGGAAGCAGCACCTCAGGTCTGTGCTGGTGGCAATTTTGAATTCTCATCCCTGACCTAACCTTCTTACAGTGCAAGCTCTGCAAAGACAAGCACTGGTCTTGTTCATTCTTATTTCACTCATAGACTTTACCTGTGTCTATGCATCTATGCTAGCACCACATGGTGACCAGTGGAACGGTCATTTCGGTCGTCACGGTCACTGCCTTTATATATATAGATGTTATGGTTGCTAAATGAAGAAATTCTTCACTGATCTTCCCAGTGAACTGCTTAAGAGTACATTTAATAAACAAGGAGCTCAATCTTTTCAAAACATCCTTCTTCCTTTTTCAAAGATGGCATTGGTGAATAGGCAAATTTTCTTTACAAAGTGTAACTAACAACAATCTACTGTAAAACAAAAAGTAGCTCTGTTTATCTCATTCCATCATGGGGCAAAATCCTATAAAAATCAATATGAGAAATATAACTTGAAAGAGCTTTTAATCATATGAGAGGATATTGATTAAAAAATATCAGAGAAGAGAAAAACAATTATTCTTTTGTTTTTGAAATATATTTTCTAATATTCCATAATAAACATGTATTAATGTTATAATCAGTAAAATAATTTTAAACAAAGAAATATAGATAACCCTGTTCCTAAAATTACAGGTTTGTTGTTCTCTCTTTTTCTAGTCTCAGCTTTTGAATTTATCATCAAGTTGCTACTGCATGTTTCTGTTTGGCTATCCTACTCTTATTTAAAAAACACACACACAAAAAAACACTTCTAAAACTAAATTAATTTTTTCCCAAACCAAACAATTTTTCTTGACATTTCTATTTCTGCCTCCTTTTCATCCAAGTTTTAAACTCTGGAATTTTTCTTCAGTCATCTTCAGCGACTCATTTCCTCCTGAATGTCCTTTTTCTCCAGTACATGTGTTTGTCACTTGACTTGAAGTTGTCTCCATATAGAATCCTTGTTCCTGGGCTTTCTCACTTCCAGTTGGCATGACATCACTACTAGAGAAATTTCCAGAATCATATTTTGTTTTATACTATATTAGAGGCCTGGTGCACAAAATTCGTGCACTGGGGAGGTGTCCCTCAGCCCAGGCTGCACCCTCTCCAATCTGGGACCCCTCGGGGGATGTCTGACTTCCAGTTTAGGCCAGGGATTAGGCCTAAACCGGCAGTCGGACATCCCTCTCACAATCTGGGACTGCTAGCTCCCAACCACTCGCCTGTCTGCCTGCCTGATTGCCCCTTATCCATTTCCCTGCCAGCCTGATCGATGCCTAACTGCTCCCCTGCTGGCCCAATCGCTCCTAACTGCTCCCCTGCTGGCCCAACTGCCCTCCCCTGCAGGCCTGGTCGCCCCCAACTTCCCTCCCCTGCTGACCTGATCGCCCACACCTGCCCTCCCCTGCTGGCCATCTTGTGGCTGTGGGCACTGCCATCATTGAGGGTGGGGCAGTCAATTAGCATATTCCCTCCTTATTGGCTGTGGGTGCCACCACCTTTGAGGGCAGGGCAGTCAATATATTCCCTCTTTATTAGATAGGATTCTTGCTCAAAAGAAAATTATATAGCTTGTCAGAACAATAACTTGTGCCATGTCTAGGGCAACATATATTCAAGATGAGCTTGAAACATCTGTGCCAGAAAGCAAGGAAATGTTCAAAGAATGATAAGGACATGTCAAGGGGTACAGGAATTGACTTTGAATGGATGTTCCCACTGGCCATATTTGGACCATCTCAACATCTAAAAGAATAATAACAGTTATTAATTTGTATGAATTAGAATATGTACAAAAAGAAAAATGCAGTGGAGAAAGAAATGGAAGTTCTGTGCAGAAAAAAATGATAATATAAATGCAAAAGAAATGATAGAAAAGCAGCACATTGCAACCAATTATTGTGATAATTGGTGACCAATGGATATGAGGATCACTAGTGGATGCTAAATCCATCAGTTCAAATGTCTTTAGGGAACAGGATATGACACAATATCAAAGTACTATCTCAAAAATTATTTACTAATTGCAAAGTGGAAAATGTACATTTATAGATCTGAAGGAAACCATCTTACCCAAGAGCTCAAACTTATCATTACCAATAGCAGTGAGAGGCCCACAATGTACCCACACCAATCATGTGTTCTTGCCAATAGGTTCAACCCAAGTCCAAAGTAGAGGAAACAATCAGAAAAGCCCAGAATGTAGGGCATTCTACAAGACAACTGGCTGGGATTCTTCAAAAATAACTTAATATACGGAAAAACAAAAAGGCAGTAAAGTTAGTGTAGATGAAAGGAAACTAAAGAGATGTGATTTTGTGCATAAATCTTCATTGGCTCCTATATGAAACAGTAAAAAAACAGCTACAAAATAACAGAATATCTTTATTCTTGGAAGATATGAGCCAATGTATGCAGGAGTAAGAAATCATAATGTCTTTCAAAAATTTCAGCAACAAAAATTTATAAATAAATATATTCATGTACATATACATACAGAGAGAGAGGGAGACTGTACAGGCAAAAGTGGTAAATATTCACAAAAGGTGAGTCTAGGTAAGGGGTATGTAGGGCTTCATTGTACTATACTTTAAAATTTTGTAGATTTGAAAATTTATAAATAAAAGGTTATGGAGGGAAAGCCCTTTGCCTGGAAGGAGAAAGTCCAGAGTCCTTGATCCAGCACTCAAGGCCATGTTCCACTTAGATCTATCAAGCTATAGTCAGTCTGTAAGAGATACAAGGGCTAGAGTGTGTCCTATCAACCCTGTCTCCCCAGCATTAGCACCATCATCTTCATAATTCTCTCCTCTACTCCTCTACAGGACCCCCTCTTAAGTCAAACTAATCTCACTCTCACAACTCTGCCTGTGCTGCTCTGCTGTGAACATTGCTCATTTTCTCCATCCAAATGAAAACACTCTCTTCCCCATCAATCCCAGCCTGACTTAAATATAAACATGACCATCTAGGTTAACACCTGATATTTCCCTTCATATTTATATATGTGAGAAAATAGGGGATCATAACTTATGATTCTTAAAGACACCCCCCACTTATAAAATAACATCTTCAATAAATAAGTATAGGTTGATTGATTACATTCCTTCACTACATTATATATGAAGTAATCATTATTTTAATGTCAAATTCCAGAAAAAAAGGAAGAAATTTAGTAAATTAATTAGTCATCTCTATGGAATGCCAAACAAAAAGTCATTTGAAAACTTATTTTTAGAATCAGGTGGGTTTGAATTAAATTCCCATTTTTGTCAGGACATTTTTTGTTATAGAGAATTGAGTAGGCTTGGATGAGTAGAGGAAAGTACCTATCTGATCATTTATCCACACTATCCCCTTGTCTCACTCTATGGCACTAACCTCCTTCTTCTGTGTTTAATTTAGACACTGCTGTCAATTATATTCTCTGGCCTTGGAATTTCTTTCTCTGGATACTGCCTGGCCATATCAGCTTTGGGCCTCATCCAAGGCCCATACTGCCGCACCGTCAATGGCTGGGAATATGCCTTTGAAGGCACTGCAGGACGGTAAGGAATAATTCCTCAAGCCAAGGAATTAGGCTTGAATTACTTGACTTAATGCTCATGCTCATTTTCCATGATCACTTTGGTGTTTCATGCAGTCAAT